CCCCAAAACCCCAAAACCCCAAAACCCCAAAACCCCAAAACCCCAAAACCCCAAAACCCCATTTGTAAAACACAGATATTCTTATTCAATAACAATTTGGTAATAAATATGGGCCAGAAAGAGAGTACTCTCAACAGAGATGGGATCAGAAATGACGACTCAGACGATAATTCTTCTGAAGGAGCCGACGAGGAGTATAAGGGCAGGTATTCCTGGAGCCATCACACTAGCTCCAGACATCAGAAATCCAGAAGTAAAGATATGACAAGCACTTTAGGTGGTGGACATACAGCCACCCAGAATGCTAATTTAGAGGTAAGATAAGCTGTACTTTTGAGCAATTTTGTGCTCTCAATTTGCCGAAATAATACTTATTCTGTATGTATAGGGCAACCTTGGCGACAATAATATTCTTTTATTCCAACAAAATGAAGTAAGCCTGGTTGACGACCCTGGAGAGCGTGAATATTACTCGACTTGCCCTAATTGCTCTGCAAGAATACTTGAAACAGGGTTGGAATCAGAGATTCTCTGACCATTTTGTAGCTGTAAGTTCAAGTCGAACTCTAACTCAACTCTGCTTCTAAGCAACGGAGGCATTAAACAAAGATACTTGAATAAATCTGAGGAAGATACTAAATATAACAGGTCGGCATCAATGCGTAATTCTATGCCTGAGCCATATCAGATGCCTCCACCACTGCCTCACTATGAAGAGGACGATTACGAGGAGGAAGAAGAGGAAGAGGAGAAGTGTACCTTCGAAGGGAGGTTAGAGACAGCTCAAGGCCAGCTCTACGATTTTGAGAATAATCTAAATCAGAATATAAGCAATGAAATTAGTACAACTTGTGATGAAAAGACTAAGGTGAAATCCCTTGATAGTGTCACATTGCTTGTAATCCAAGAAACTTTGTTAGAGGATTTTATCATTACAGATAAGAAGGAGCAAGAGAAGAAGCTCAGCAATATTGGAGGCGTAACTATAGCCAGGGACTCTCCTGATGGCGAGGAGAGCAAGGTCGAACTGAATAATGAAGAAGAAAAGAAGGAAGAGGAGCAGAACGTGACTGAAGAAGAGCCATCCATGGGCACACCTGAGGAAAGAGCTGCAAAGAATTCTCTTAAATCGGTGAAATTTGATCTTCTAATCAAACAAATTTTGTTGCCTTTTTTTCAGATCCAAACGCGAATTCTGCAAAAAGGAAATGTGTTTGAAATAGGAACGATCAAATTCTTGGTGGCTGCTACAACTCCTCATAAACAAGGAAAAGTGACTACAAAGACTAAAATTAGATGAAATATGGTAGTCTCCCAAGAATCTGCGATGGAAAGTGTTGAACTAATCCCGATGAGAAGGAACGTGATCCCCTCCACTAGTGAATTTATGAATGATGTGGTGAATCCCTTCCTCTCAAATATCAAGCCAAAGGAGATATACACTCACAAGCATGCGATTATCGAGCTAGAAGAGGTGAAGTTCTTGATAAAGTACTCCAGACCATTCTTTGGGTATTTTAATAGCGAGACTCGTGTTAGGATCGATGATTACGCTCAAGCTCTCAATTTTATCAGAATTGCTCCTATCTGGAAAGATGAAAAGACATGCAAGGAGGTTAATGAGAACTTCGGTGACTACGAGAAGCTCATCGGCAAGAAGTACCTTGAAGTATACTTCCACAGCGGATTGTCACGATTTGTTGAAAAAGGAGAAACCATTTTTATTGAGAACTTGGAGTTCTTCGTGAACGATTGCAAGCCAAAGATAGGATACGTTGATGAAAGAACCAGAATTGAGATCCAGACAGGCTTCACTCAGGAGAATTTTAAAAGAAAGCAGATCCAGGCTGATAAAAACTTTGCCAAGAGGCTACAGCATAAAGAGAGAAACAGAAGCCAACTCTATCAACTTTCACAAGCACTTGAGAGAAGGGAAAATTTAGAAGGAGAAGAGCTATCACAGTTTGACCAAGAACTATTAAGGATGACAAACCAGCTAGGAGAAGATATCTCTGATCTAAGAGAGAGACTGAATATTCACCGTCAACACAGACATAAATCAAAGAGAAAACCAGCTTCTCGGACTCTTGTTGAAAGTCTTCCTGAGAGAAAATTCATTAAAAGTACTGTGGAAGGTGCTGGAGATAATGAAGAAGCGAATGTCAAGTGTATGATTTGATTAGAATTCTATGAAGATCAAGAGATGCTCAAGACATTACCTTGCATTCATTCTTTCCACAAGGGATGCATTGAAAACTGGTTTAAAAGAGGAAGAACTTGTCCTGTATGTAAATGGGATATCACCAAGCAATCAGACAGCTCTAATTTCTAAAGAGCTAATCTGTCCGAAAATGATTGATAAACAAACAAATTCAATAAATATTATAAAAAATGGGGTTTTGGGGTTTTGGGGTTTTGGGGTTTTGGGGTTTTGGGGTTTTGGGG